TTTCTTCGAAAATAATCAACAAAAATTCGAAAACATATTTTTTTTCTCTCTCAACTCTCTTCACAGTCACGTGTGAGGGTAAAAATGGGAAAATGCTGGACTTTTAAGTTTTTTTCAGTTTTTCCTTTTTTTTTTCTTTTTTACTTGATCAAAGGCTATTATGGAAAAGTGACGGGTCAACCGGGTATTTTCCACCATTTCCTCCTTGAGACAAATCCTGTAAAAATGTAAAACTTGCCTGATTATTTATTTATATTTGATAAATGAATCCCCTAGGACCCACTGTTATCTATATCTATAATTACATGGAAATTCTATAAGTAATTGCCAGCAGATCTCTATATCCTCAGAGGCATATGCTACAGTGAGGCAGTATACAGCCAGAGGGTGGCAACGGGATTACTGTTTCATCAAACATTCGCGATGGTGGTGCTGAAGCTTGCACTTCAACGAGGTATTTAATTTAATTCCTGAGCTGTTGAGCGTGTGTATAATTTTGTTGTTTATCCTATCATTTGATGAATATGGGTATTGTATGCGTTATAGCGAATTGGTTGATTAAATTGCAACTCGAAGCCCTAACCATTGATTTGATTATTGTTTATGTGTGTTTATATTTGCGTCTTGGTGTTTCTTTAGTGGGGAACGTGAGGCTGTTGAGTCCTCGGATATTTGCGCTTGCCAATTCTCAGTTTTCTACTGCTGCCGAACAGTCTTGGAGAAATGGAAATTCTCTTGTGAGTACTTTTTCTTTTCTGATTTGTTTGATACAATAGTAGTTCGTTTCTAGTTTTTTCCATTCTTATTGCACTTGATATTCTGAAAATAAAGCACCCGTGGAAGATGAAAATCGTTCGTTTGAATTATTGAATTTTATAATATGTGTATACTTTGGGAAATCCAATTATGCTCACTTTAGCGTGAAGTAGAAGAATATAAGGAACAAAAAATGAGCCTCTAACCCATGAATCTTAGGTAAAAAATGAGTAAGCAGGAATGTCATGGTCAATAGTTTTAGTTTTCATTATTTTTCTTTCTCACTTGCTAAGTTCATGCACTGAGTGTATGCATCAACCTTTGGGGTTAATTATTGGCTATTGCATTAATCTTTTTTTGTTTCAGAGAGTGCCAAATCTCGTCGGTGGTAGCTTTGCAGATTCAGAATCATCAGAATCAATTGATGTCTTGAATCCGGTTAGTGAATGAAACATCGTAACAATACGATTTCTTTATATTTAGTTATCAGTATTTCTTTAGTGTTTATTTTCTTTGATTGATTGATATCATAGGCAACACGAGGTAGTTTCGCAAGTACCGTTAACTACAAAAGAGGAGTTCAAATCTGCAGTATCTGCTGCAAAACAGGCCTTTCCATCGTGGCGGAACACACCAATAAATGGCAGCGCGTTATGTTTAAGCTGCAAGATCTTATTCGTAAAAACATGGTTAGCATGTTAAATTGATTTATCTAATTGGTTTTTATTCTACATGTGATTAATACTGATTAGAACTATTACAATTCTCATTCTAGGATAAGCTCGCCTTGAACATTACCACCGAAAAAGGGAAGACACTTAAGTATGCACAGGGTGATGTGTTCCGTGGGCTACGTTAGTACCTTTATAATATGTACGTGTGTGTATACATTTATTCTTTTCATTTTATTCTAACTGAACTCTGTAATCATTGCGGTTGAGTTCTTAATCATTGTGCTCATTTTCTTGAAGAGGTGGTGGAACATGCATGTTGGCAACACTGCAAATGGGAGAGTATGTTTCCAACGTGTCAAGCGGAATTGATACCGTGGGCTTAATTGGGCTTATGTGGTTCTCCTATCTATTGGGCTTGTGCCATTTGTGGCCCTTGGATGTGTTGAATGGCTAGGATTTAAACTTGTGAGATATTTTATCTTAGATAATGACTTGAATTGAGAAGCTTCTGCCAGACGACTCTCTCTCGAAGTCTCGTTTCTCTCTTTGGTCCGTTTTTCAGCCTTCTTCATTTTTGCTCCATAAATCAACCATATAGCTATAGATTATAGAAACTCTTGGGGATTCTTAGGCCTGAAATAGTGGCTAAGTTTGTGGAGTGTTTCTCGGTGGTTTAGCTTTGGTTTTGGAGGGTGTTCTTGGCGGTTTTATGGTAGACCGTTTGGTCGATAATCCAAGCCAAGAAGAAGGAGGGTTTGG